AAATGCTCATCAATGAGTAACTGGTTAATTACAGTACACATATCATTGGAGAATTACTCACCTATTTGAAAGAATAAAGTCTTTCTATATAACTGTTAATAAAAAAGAAGCTCTGCATAGTATGACAAGATTTCATGTTATTTTAACTTGGGGATATATACAAAATAGTTGTTTGTCTCTGGAAAGGAAAACTAGAAAACTAGAGTGGAAAAAGACTTAATTTTCACAATATATTCTTTTGTCTTATTAAAAGTCTTACTTTAATGTATCAACTACTATTCAAAACAAATTTTAAAGAAGAAAGTAATAAAGATCAAATAGTTAATGACATGATGGGACCACGTTTAGATTCTTAATGTCACTTTACTTTTCTACAGAGAGCTCATAAAACCAGCTAATGTAAAAAGATATTTGGGGCACCTGGGTGGCTCAGTCAGTTAAGTGTCTGCCTTCAGCTCAGGTCATGATCTCAGGGTCCTGGGATCGAGCCCCACATCAAGCTCCCTGCTCATGAGGAGTCTGCTTCTCTCTCTCTGACCCTTCTCTCTGCTTGTGCGCTCTCTCTCTCTCTCTCTCTCTCTGGGTGTCTCAAATAAATAAATAAAATCTTTTAAAAAAAGATATTTAACTCTAGAAAAATAACACTAGTTCAAGGTACAAGCTCTGCAGATTTATTTCTGGAAATAACTATCTGCCATTATGCAGCTATAGTTTGAGACTTATAAAAAAAGTTAATTATCTTATATTTATCATTTCACTTCCAAATACATTATGCTTATTCACTCAAAGTAGCATGCTTTGATGTTATACGAACCATTTGTCTATTTTCAAGATGAATAAGAAAAAAAGATAAGATTCTCAAGACTTCTTTTGCCAGTAAGCAATTCCATAGTAATATTGAAAATGAATTATCAAGCAGTTATGATAACTTTTGGAATACAATCTTTCCCCAGAAAGTTAAAAAAAATTGAAAACCTAATCCTATGTAAAGAGTAAAAGGGATCATTTTAAGGTAGTATTAGTAAGATTGATTCTAGACTAATAAATATCTTGTGGTTTTAATGAATTAAGGCATTTTTGTGTTTGTTTAGAACTCAAAATGGTCAATATCAAAATTTGGCATTGTCAAACTTTACGAGCTCTGTGAACGTGTGATAAATTATTTTATCTATTTAAATATATATTGAAAACTCTATATACTTATTAGCATTCCCTAGAGAAGTAGCTCATTTTTGGCTCATCAGTATAAAACATACTTATTTGTATGCAGTCAACACTGGTTTCCTTAAGAGTATGCCCAGATTAAGGACCTCAGTAGAGTGCAGAGGGTCACAGGAATGCCAGCTGCTAAATAGTCTCCCCCTAAAGAGTTCACTGTGGTTCATTTTACATTTCTGGTTAGTTTCCACACTGTCGCTTTCTTTCATAGAGAGTAGAGGTTGGCAGTACTTCCCTGTGACATCCACTTTCACACCCAAATTGGTCTTCATAGGCTCCCATTGTGTGCACTACAAAGCAACTTGCCTTGTTGGCAGCTCTAAGTGGGAACTACAAGTCTTTCTTTTCTTCACTGTTCTTTTCTGGCTCACAAGCAACCTCCCACCAAAAGCTGAATCTGTGGAAGAGACTACATCCAAGAGATAATACTATGAAAAAGTATGAAGAGAAGCCCAGGTGGCCACCTTGCAAATTTCCAATGTGGAAGCCTTCGACCTCTCTGCCCAAGAAACAGCTAAAGTCCTAGTGTAATGAGCTTTACAAACCCTAGGAGCCTCTTTACCTTAACTACATACGCCTCCCTAATACAATCCCTTAACCATCTAGCTAAGGAACTCTTAGAAGCCATTTGACCCCTCTTAAGACCCCCTAAGAGTACAAACAATCTTTCAGAAGATCTGAAATCTTTGATTCTTCTGAGACAAACCCTAAGTGTTCTTCTTACATCCAATTGAAGCAGCCATTGCTCTTTGTCATTGCTGGGGCTAAAGAAAAATGAGGGCCAAGAAACCTCCTGGTTTAGATAAATCTCAGATGCCACCTTTGGAAAATTTGAGGAATTGCCCAAAGAACAACTTTATTCCAAAGGAGCATTAGAAGTGCCCCATAAATCAAATCTGAGCCCACTGCAGAAGATACAATCACCTAAAAGAAATACCGTAAGGTACCATTATAGTCAAATAATGTCCTATCATTTGCTGAAATGACCAAAATAGAAAACCATCAAGTCATGACCAAAAAAAAAAAAAGAAATATATATAATAATAAATATTTCTCTCTAAAGATACTTCTATGTCTCTACAAAATCTATTGCATCATATTCAAATTACTAAGAGCACTGCCAATTTAGCTAAATTGACAATATAGTGGTAAACATCAAAGTAAAAAGTAAAATATTTAATTATCTTTATATTTTCTCTATGTATGTTAAGCCCCTGGATATTTTTAAAACATCTGGACAATAAGAAAAAAAAAAAAGCCCTCATTTTCATCACATTGTTTTGGTTACATGGACATAGTAGGCAACTCTTTCCAAGATCTTTATTAGCAAAATATGCTCCAATTAAAAGAAACACACAGGAAACCAAATGACTTGATCTTTTTTCCCCCCTTATTCTCTCTGACACAAGATTTCCAAGCAAAACATTAACTATCATGTAACTTAAGATGCATTTGGTTTCTTTAATCATCTGTTTCAAGGAAACTTTTCCCTCCTGATTTAAGAAACCGATGCTTTTGATAAGAATTGATTAAGTTTTTCTTGACGATTTCCCTCATAATCATTCTTTTCAAGGAGCCATTTATATAAAGTTATGTCACATTAAGTTAATCTTAGCTTTGTTATAAAAATATGAATTTCAACAATGAGGAAACATGTATCATATGGGGATGGTCTAGTACTTAAGACATTCTTACACCTGTCTTTTAAAATTCCATTCATATACTTTGTTCAAAAACCCACAACCATGCTTCTATAATACATTCTTATTAATGGATTTGAAGTTACTTTTATCTGCCATGCTGCTTATATAATAACAAATTTGGGTAAGGTAGAATGTTGTAGCATAATTATATATTTTCTCTGTTGATTTTATTCAATAATGGTAACCATTTCCCTCAAATATATAGCATTTGCAAATCACGAGATTGCTCAATTTTAATCTAAATGAGTCTTCTTTTTCTGAAATTGGTAATATCAAACCTTTGCTTCAATTGTTGGTCATTTGAGTTTTGTATCTTTATAATACTTCTCTAATACAATTATAATTTTGAATTAATGCTTCCCTTTAAAGGAATAAAGTTATTAAAATTTACCTAATTTCTCTAGATTCTGGTCTAGGACCAAAACAGTATGAGTCCCAAGAGGTAAGAGTCTAGATGTGTTGGGAGTCTGCTTTGTTTCTTGATCTACACTTCAGAAAAGATCTGCTAGAGATGTGGATGTGAGATGCAAAATCTTAGCCAGGCATGATGGATGAGTAGCAACACCAAGTGTCAACTGCTTGAGGCACCAAGATGTCAATCACAAATTAGGATGTCATATTGATCTACTAGATCTTTCTTCAACCCAGTCAGTTTAATATATAGGACCCTCTAGGGTTCATATTATCTCCTAATTAAATCTATTTTTCCATTCTGTCTTCTAATTTTCATATTTTCTGTCTTATATTTATATTATTTTCCTATTGGACTTTTGTCAGCTTTAGAAACCTGAAATCCACCTCAATTTTTCTTCAGATTTTCTCCAAAATTGAAAAAATTATCTACTTTATAATTTTACAGTGCTACTAAAACTTAATCTGACACAGAGAAGGGCAGTAAGCCATGCCTAATATAAAAGAAACTTCAACCCTATAACTTTTCCAACATTATTTACCCAGGCAAAATAAACACAAAAGTAAACATATTAAAATAAATGTAATTCCTTACTATGAAACTGGGTTTTAAAATTTTCTGATTGATTGTTAATCATTTGGTTCCCTCACTTTGTTTTGCAAATGCAGCCACCAACTATATTTATTGTCTTTAAAATGATACATGGTATCATGTAAAAGAGAACTTTCTGATACAGATGAAAATATTTGTAAGTAGAGATATGAACATATTTTAACTATTATGCCTTTGAATTTCACCTCTAATGTTAGAAATATTATTTTAACATACATGGCATAACTTTCTTCAAAAGGATTTTGCTAAGACTAAAAACAATAGGGATGCCTAGGTGGCTTAGAGGGTACAATTCTGGAATTCTGGGATCCAGTCCCACATCGGTCTCTCTGCAAGGAGCCTGCTTCTGCCTCTGGCTATGACTCTGTCTTCTCTCTGTATCTCTCATGAATAAATAAATAAAATCTTTACTAAAAAAAAAAGACTAAAAACTGTATAAAATTAGAATTACTTTTATAACAGTTCACCTTTATTGTGACCTACTAGACATTCTTTTAAATACATACACTAAATCATTTAATTCTCACATACATAACACATTGAAATTTGAAGCATATAACAGTAAAAGAAAACAAAGAGAAAGTTAGTTTAGACCTACACCATTATTTTGAAGATGAGAAAATGGAGTCTAAGAAAGCTAAAATATTTCGCCCAAGGTCACTTGGCTGCTACTAGCAGAAGAGGAGCTACTAGATCATCCAGTATGCTTATTTTTTCCATAAGCCAGGCTGCGTTTTTCTGAATATAAAAAAAAAAAATTTAATTTGATTTCATCTAAAGATCATTATCCAGAATTGTATTACAATGCTTTGTCAATTACAATTATAGAATTTGCCACATATATAAGATAGAAATGTAATTTTATGGTGTGTATTACATTTAACATTTATTTAAATAATTAATTTAAAGAATTCTATCATGCATTTTTTTTTTCAAGTAATGGTACAGATTCAGCAGCAAGAAGTGAAAACAGAGAGAAAAAAAGAAAAAAAAAGGGGGAAAAAAAGAAAACAGAGAGAATAGATTTACAAATTTAAACAAAAAAAGCATGTTACCTGAAATATTTCTGGGTGTCCTCAGTGATACAAATATTTCTTCCAATAATTCTTCAACATTTTTTTCCAGCTCCAAGAAAGATTTTATGAGTTGCGATAAGAATTTGAGTTTATCTAAGGAGAGGAAAAAGTTTCTTCTTTTCTGTGGGCATTCAGGAGTAACTGTGGAAAGAGATCAATACTATCATATTTGTACATTTTACTTGTTTTCTCAGTAAATATTGAAACAATCTATGTGATTCCATAAGCCATCAAAACTAATAAAATCAACAATTAAACCAAATTTGTTTTTTAAGAAATGCATATAAATCTCCTACGTGTCTTTTCTTTTGGGAAGCTGGAGAGAAACATTCTGTTTGATGCAAATATGCCAATTAAATAATTATATTGATTCTCAGAGTTATAAATAGGAATGTGATTTGTTTGTAAAATCACTTCTTATATAGTTCTATTCTTTAAAAAGTCTGGCATGACTTGAAGCTAGTCATGAGGAAACATCAGGTAAACCCAAATTGACAGAAATTCTACACAATAGCTGGTCTGTACTCTAAAAGTACACAAAACACAAAGACCAGGAAATGTTTTAGCCAAAAGGAGTCTAAAAGACATGATAACTATAGTTAACATGATTGGTATTTTACTTTATTTGATTATAAAGAACATTATTGGGTTAATTTGGTGAAATTTGAGTAAGGTCTACAATCTAAAACTAAAGCTCTTATTTCATGATTATTAATTTTCTTTCTTTTTAAAAAAATTTTCTTTTTTTTTTAAGATTTTATTTATTTATTCATGAGAGACACACAGAGAGAGAAGCAGAGACATGGGCAGAGGGAGAAGCAGGCTCCATGCAGGGAGGCGGATGTGAGACTCAATCCCAGATCCTGGGATCACATCCTGAGCCAAAGGCAGAAGCTCAACCACTGAGCTACCCAGGTGTCCCTATTTATTAATTTTCTGATATGGATAACTATACTGTGGTTATGAAACAGAATGGTCTTATTTTTAAGAAATACACACTGAAGTATATAAGGACAAATATACATAATCTATTCTCAAGGGAAAACATGGTTTTCAGAGAAAGTGGATGCAAATGTGGAAGCGTGCTAAAATATTAACATTTGAGGAATCTGAGTATTTTTTGTAATTCTGAAATTAAAAAAAATTTTAACTTAAAAGAAAAAAATGAAGAGACAAAGGATATGACTTTTTAAGACCTTACTTAGAAGCATTCCTCTGATAGCATTAAAAAGAAGTAACTTAGTTGTTCAATCTAGACTACATAACTCATGAAATCATGGTTAAAAATAACTTCGGTCTAAATAATTGTCATATCAATTTCTTTCATGAGAGCAAACCAACTTAAAATAAATAAAGGTTGATTTTTTTCCTTTTATAATTAATGCTGTTTTCTCTTATAATTAAATCACACTACCACTTGAATATAGAAAAATATCTTTAATATATCTAAAATATCTCTAAAAATACTCTAAGCATATAGAAATTAAACTGCCCTCCCCAAATGGCACTTGGGACCAAGTTTTCAAGGATTTAAAGAATTCTTCCTTTATTATTGTCACTTCTTAAAACATGTATTTAAGAACTATCTTGAGGCTTAAAGACAAATGGGAAAATTTGTAAACTCTTCTAAAGAAAGTGTAAAGTGCATTTGGTAAGAAAATACTGAGAATGCCAATTAAAAATAACGTAAGGTCTGGTGACTCCAAGTGAAAAAACATTGCCTTCATCACATGGATTTAAAAGGTACGTTCCAAAAACAAACCAATTTAATGGGTGATTCACTTCACTCAGTCAAACTTTTAAATGCTGGCATCAGACTTTTAACCATAGGATAGAGGTTTTTACTGAGGGTAAAAAATGTCATGGTACCTTTGCAGATGATTTGAGAGAGACCTGTCAGCCAATTTAAACTGGAATTTAGTCCTGTTCTTAAAGAGCAAAGCAAGGAACACACACACACACACACACACACACACCCATGAGTACCTACAAAAACTATTTCATCTCTAAATTGATGTTAGACCCACATACATTAAAGTCTATCTCTAAACAGCCCTGCTCACACCCATCATTCTTCCACAGGCGTGCTAGAGAACACAAACATGTACAATCAGCATCCAACTAAGATTTTGCCATGAAAATCATGATCCAAAAATGAAAGAAAAGAGAATAAATATATTGTGAATCATTTAGCTGTTGCTCGATTCTCATTTTGCCTGTTTGATTTCTTTTAAGCTTTGTTCATGTGGTTGGAGGGACTGATTTAGCTTTCTAAATCTTAACCATGTCCCTTTGGAACTAAATTATTTATAAGCAACACTTTCAAGACTTTAAGAATTCTTCCTCATTCTTTAATAGTTAGAAATTAAGAAGGTTTCGTGCAGCTCTATTTTAATTAGAATTACTGTATTTATAAAGTAAATAAAGAAGTACCCCTAGTCCCAAAAAATCTTTAAGAGTCAAAACACTATACCCTGAGTGCTACTTGTTTAAAAATTATATAGGGTCTGAGGATTCTATATGAAGAGGTCTTACCTTCATGACCTGGATTTAGAAAAATCTTGTATTCCAGAAGTTAAACTTTAGTGAATGGTAAATCTATTTCCATTCAATGCATCTTTATAACTTAATAATGAAAGAGGACAGAATAATATGTATGACCTAAATCTAATCATTTTTGTTCCAAAGAAGCAATGATTATGGTAGTGGTCCATTAATTAGCAGTCCTTATTTCCTATTACTATTAGCTCAGTGTTCTCCCAAGGGCTACTGTGAAGGTTCTTAATTTATGGAAAAATAATTCTGTGATAAATTCATTTTGTGAAGGTCCAATTAAAGCAAAATTAAACACAAAGGATGAAATAGCATAGCTCAAACTTGTCTTATTTTCCCCACAGTATCTCATAGGACTAGAGTTCTAATCATCACATCTTAGGTCATAATTTCTATTTGCCTATACATACCTATTTTTCTGTTCCTTAGACTCTTCACTGTCAACCAAATTAGGAAAGGATTTCCCCTGTACATTTATTTTCACTCAATTAATCTTTCTTTCCTTCTTCTTTCACCATTCTGTTTGTTCCTCCCCTCCAACTCACCTTCCTAGAAAACCTTATCTGGATACAGTCTATTCACTTTCCCCTTAAACTAATCTGGCCTTTCTCTGTTCTTTCTTAAACACTATGCAAGTGTCTTCCTTCAGGAAATTTTGGACATACAGGCTTATACACAGGCAACTATGTTTAGCTGGCCACCAATCATTGGCATAAAATATGTGAAATAATGATTTTCACTCTATTACAGGATGAGCTCTATGGTTCTTAGAAAATACGAAATTCTCCTAAATCCTAATAATATTATAGATAAAAGTTAAATTGGCATTTTAGGGTAAGATTTTAATTTACCATCAACTAACAAAGAATAAGTCCATGTTGAGGGTATTTTTTTACTCCCCTATGTTATTTTAATAAAAATTTTTCTAAAACATAATATAAAATTCCTTGCTTTCTTAGTGTTTAGAACATAACTTAAAGTTTTCTTCATGACAGAGCTATGATAAAAGTTACTTTTTATGTGCTGCACTGAAAAATGAATGTCTGTCCCTCATCAAAAGGCATATCCCAAAATTCATTTGAAAAGGATTCTATGGGGCAGCCCCGGTGGCGCAGCGGTTTAGCGCAGCCTGCGGCCCAGGGTGTGATCCTGGAGACTTAGGATCGAGTCCCACGTCGGGCTCCCTGCATGGAGCCTGCTTCTCCCTCTGCCTGTGTCTCTGGCTCTCTCTCTGTGTCTCTCATAAATAAGTAAATAAAATCTTTAAAAAAAAAAAAAGAAAAGAAAAGGATTCTATGATCAAATAGCTTTAGGAATCACTACATACTAAATGCTACTTAAAGTGGCTCACAATGCAAATTAGAATATTAAACACTTTAATTTTATAACAATGTAAATTAAAAAAAAACAATGTTTCTCAAACTTTTTTGACCAATGAACACCAGTTTACCAACAAATATATTAACTTTTGGGATTTTTCTCAAACAGCAATGCTGTTGAGGGCACACTGCTCTAGACCACAGCACTCCTTGAGAACTGTCTACCTTGTAGTCTTTCCTCCCATTTTAGATCTCTAGTGGAGGGTTCTTGTTGCTATTTGACTGATTTTACCAGTGTATTTTTTCACTTGTAAACTATGCTCCTGACAGCATCATAGTATTCTGCAGACCTCTTTGAGAAACTAATCAAAGCCTCCTAAATCCCTATAATTAACCCTTTCCCTTTGTTGAAAAACAACAAAAAGCAACTACAAAAACACAGTTTCAGGGATAAACAGAACTATCCGAAGTCCACTGTGGCTGTCATAGGGCTTCTGTGGTCCAGGAACTCCTGATTTGTTAAAAATGCTTAACCCTTGGCCATCACCAAGTGCCTTTTAAGCAAGTGCCCCAACTCAGTTTTCTGCCCATTGGAGTTTGAGACCACTGCCTGAGGGGGCCATGAATTCTAGCTAAAAATTTTTATGGCAGAAAATTACTCTCTAGGCATCAGAAAATCTGGGGATTTTGGTCTTAGCAAGTCAACCAAAGAGGTGCTATTATGTAAAAACATTAGTAACTTAAAAAAGAAATGTTCCTTTTTTTTCTGATTCCTGATTTTTAAAAAATTCTGGAGGGAATATGGAACAATTGTAGGAAATTTCTAAGAGCATATCCTACACATTTGCCCAGGCAAAAGAACTGCTCCTAGGAAAACACTCAAAGAAAAGTTGTAGTTTTATAGGTTCTTTCATCACAAATGTGAAAAGATTTCCATGAGGCCAGAGATTATTTCCAGTGTATTTTCACCATAATTTGTCAAGAATACAGTATAATTTCTTACACGGAGTGGACACTATAAAAAAAAACTGGTTAAAGAAATAAATGTATAAAATACCACAGGTCCTAGGAATATCTAGGTTTGACTTAGAACAATGACAGATTTTATACCTATTCCTGAAATGCATTTTCAAAACAATAAATATAGATCTAAGCCTGGGAATAAAGAAACAAATATATATTTAAATAAATACAGTATTATATAACACTCTTTTCAGTAGTTAGACAAAAGAAATTTGGAGATTATTTCTAAAATAGAAAATGTGTGCA